TATTATTTATTTTACTAGTGTATTTATTATCTTTGTCACTGCCGCTCTACGTTTTTTTTCTTCTCACAAAATTGGTTAGAGTAGACTTTCTGACAGGCACAACACACAAATAGACACATCACACCGCACAGTTTTCCTTCTTGTTTGTTCCTCTTCGAGGCTAAATTTTAATTTAACTTTTTTCTTTTAATTCAGATCCGAGAAATTTTGCTTTCTTATGCTATTGTACCTTCTGTACAAGTACAACGTGGAAAGCTTAACAATCACTTCTCAAATTGTGCGTTTTATAATGGCAATTTATTTTTCTCTCTTCGTAAATCCATAAGAATAAAAAGCTAATTTTGTTTTTATATTCGTCACATTTTTAAACTCCGAAGAAATTGGGTAATTCCTTTTTTTTTGTAAAATTTTTAATAAAGTAATGCGTAATCGCATAGCATCAGCAAAAGAGTGTTGAATTTAATTTATTTATTTTTCTTGTCAATTCATTTAAAACGCGACCCGATTGTGTCCACGTAAAAAACTTCTACAACAGTCACTTAATTTGTCTATAAATTTTCTCTTAATCTTTTTTTTTATTTTACTTGATCAACTTTGAGCAAATATAACAGTGAAATCGGCGATAGAGACTCGAAGGAGCATGGACGGAACGTCGTGTGCAAGCGATGAATTTACAAGTTGAACTGAGAACACCAGCGAGAATAATACAACATCGAAAGAAAGACAGAAAAAATGAAAAATAAAAACAGAACAATTTTCCCACAATTTCGTCCGAAGCCGAATCCAGCGAGCACAGTGTAGAGACAGTGAAAAATCACCCGAAGTTTACACGAATTAACTATTCTGAATGTAGTTGTGTTTCACATCTAGGTGTTCTTCTATAAAGCTGATTCGTCATCGGTCTGCGTCGGTTGTCAGTTTCTTTTGTATTTGTGTTTATGCGATATTTCTGAGATGTAAAAAAGGCAAGCAGCAGTTTTAGAAAATATAATAAAAACGACGATTTCCTTACAGTAGCGACTAATAGTTTTCGGACTTTTTCTTTTTCCGTTGACATTTGCTACGCTACTATCGTTGGATACGATGTTACTTTGTGTGTCTGCTTTGATGATTTTTCATCATCACATGCATCATAAAATAGTTCTTCTGTAATGTAACGCCCGCAAAAACCTTTTCAGTGATAATTTTTGTTTTCATTTGTCTTAAGAATCTTTATGAGAACAAATATTCTTGTAGGTGCATAATATCTGTAAAAGATCTGCAAAATAATAAAAAAATTAGTCGTAATTTTTTAATTTTTGTGCATATTTCTGTATTTCTCCATTGAAAAG